ATGTGACCTCAGGGCTGCAGTAGCAATGGCAGAGGGTGTGCTCAGCATGCACCAGGTCCTGGGTTTGATCCAGCACAGTGAGCTTATCTGGAATAGGGTTTTGGCAGCTGCAACTAATTAAGGTGGGGTTTGCATGTGATTGATGTGGTATATCCCAGTCCAGAGACTGGGGGACCCCCCAAGAAGAGAAGGCAGAGACGCACAGGGAAGAGGGCCACGCAGGGCTGCAGGCACCTGGAGTAAGGAGGCTGGGGTGCAGCTTGGCAGTGGAGCTCTTGCCTGACAGACTCAGACCCTGGGCTCCCCCTAGACTTTCTTACACCCATGCAGGGAGCCAGTGCAGAACTGGATTAGTGCATATATAAACCAAGGAATATCAAGGGTCTTTAGCAACCAGCAGAAGCTGTCAGCAGCAAGGAAAGATCCTCCCAGACCTGTCAGAGGAGCATGGCCCAGCAGACACCTTGGTTTCAGACCTCCAGGCTCCAGAACTAGGAGATTGAACTCCCTCCCGTGGTTTTAAGGTACCCAGTTTGAGGCACTTTGTTACATGCAGTTCTAAGACACACACACACACACAGAGAGAGAGAGAGAGAGAGAGAGAGAGAGAGAGAGAGAGAGAGAGAGATGGAGACGCTTAGGTGGGCTCAGAGGGGGCAGCTGTGAGACTATTTAGTATGGTACAGTATATTCACTAAATAAATATTCATGGAGCGTTCCTTCTGTGTCTAGCTCTGTTGAAAAGAACCAAGTTCTCCTTAGACTGTATCAAGTCTGCACTGGGCTGTGGGCCTTTTTGCCCAGTTGCCCACACATTTCCAGACTTGGTGGGGTGTGTGGCAGAGGGTCCCCACTGTGGGGAGAGGGGCAGTCTTGGGCAGGAGGCCCTGGCTTATTATCTCAGCAGCCACAGGGGTTGAGCCAGCACACTCTGGCTCCTGCTGGGGTCAGCTCCTGCTGTTTGCCTTCCAGCTGGGTGCCTGCTCTTTGCGCTCTGATCCGCCCTCCTATTTGGGGCCTGGGCCTCTGCAGGCTGGGTCACTGCCCCCTGGCATGGTTACTCTGAAGCCAGCAGCCCTGCTGGGCCATTCATAGGCATATCCTAGTGGAGGCAGGGGGCGGATATTAGGTTCTTCCCTCCCCGAAAAAAAACCTTCACAGACACATATGTTCAATGTGTGTTAGGTCTCTGGGAAGATGTCCAGGCAGAGGCAGGGATGGGAGGCTACAGTCTCTGGGGAGATAGAAGTGGACTAGGCAGTGGTGTGTGTGTGTGTGTGTGTGTGTGTGTGTGTGTGTGTGTGCCTGTGTGTGTGCCTATTGGGGCAGGCAGACATAATAATCAGTGTGTAGCTGAGGGGAGGGACTGTCAGACTGTCCTCATAGGCAATCACATGCCAGCAGCTCCATGTACTACCAACTGGCATGCAGGCGTGGGGCTCCCAAGAAGCCTGCACACACAGCCCCAGCTTGGGCACTGAAAGCCCATGCCACATTCTCTGGCCTTGTGCTGGCATGGGCCAAGGGAGTTGGTCCAGGACACCTATTCTTTCCCCCAACACGCACACCCACACCCACACCCACACCCCCTTCCCACACACACTCTTCAGTGTGGAGCAGAGGGGAGATCATTTAGAGGCACGTAATTCCCCAAACACTACTTCTCTTTCATATTGTCTATTCTCTCTGTAAACCTTACTACCCAGAATACCATCTCGGGAAAGAAATACTTTTATTCTTTATCTGCCTCACTCTTTTCTAGGCTCCACAAGTGAACACACACACACACACACACACAAACCTCTTCCCCCCAAATGTCCCAGCCTTATCAGAAAAATACTCCCTAACTGTAAATTCAACACTTCACACCCACCTTGCTTTTTTCTTTTTCGTGCTCTTTCTAGAGTTTGAACTGTATGTATTATTGGAAAGAGAGAGAGAAAAAAAAGCCTTGGGAAAGAAGGAGAAGGGAGAAGGCCTGAACTGAACTCTGACTTTCTTCACCGATGTGGAAGATTATAAATGAAGTGCATTGACAACAGCTGATATCCCTCTGGTCTCCATGCAGCTACTCAGCTGCACAAGCACCTCTAGTGCACAGGTAAGAAAGTGGAGAGACATGCAGAGTCACCTCTCTGTTCTACGTAGACAGCAAAGTCCAAAGAGGTAGTGATTCGGGTGCGAGAATGTGTAGTAAGCAGGCAAGCAGGAGGCGAACTCTCTCCAAAACTGCCTTTGGGAGCAGCCTGCAAGGAAGGCAGACTTGCAATGGCACCAGGCCACGTCCAGGATGCTCAGGGAGCATGTAAGTAAAGAGGGACCAGAAAGCAAGAGCTGTAGAAGAACTGGATGGTGTGGCTTTCACATGGTCCTCTGCCCTCTGCCAGGCTTGGGGAATCTAGGGACACTGCGGGTTAGGGGCTGCAGTGGAGGACAGAAAAGCAGGACTGGGCTGTGGTTGGTAGGTGCTTTTTCTTTGGGCCGTCTGTCTTGAGTACTCAACCCTCTTTTGGGTCTAGGTCTGAGTTGGTTTAGAATATTCTATTCTTTTATCTCATGAGTATCCTTCAGCATGGATGAATTTTATCATCATATGCTTTCTTTTTCTCATATGCTTTCAATACATAATTCATCCATTCATTGCAGGATCTTAGTACCAATACATAATGCATCTTCTAGAGATGCTGAAAAAGACAAAGAATAGCCAGAGAGAGAGGGAGGGAGGGAGAGAGAGACAGACAGACAGACAGACAGACAAACAGACAGACATAGAGAGACATAGAGAGAAGAAAAAGTTACCAAAAAGAGGTGAGATATAGAAGAGGGACAGGAGAGCCCTAAAAAAGGAGGAGAGTAGTACCACTATTTGTGCAGCCTCCAAACACAGATGACAGGGATTACAAAGTGACCTTGCCTGCCCATGGACTGCACTGGCTGCCAGTGCTCAGGGAACCCTGAGCAAATACATCCTGATCCCCACATAAAGGGCCAATTAACTTCACCATCTCCGGAAACAAATCCGATAACAGGGTGACAAGCCCCTAGGCACTGGCGGGGCCCTGTGTTTGCTGAGAGGCTGGCTGGGCTGGGAGCAAATGGGAGGATTAGGATGGGGCAGGGCCTGCCTGCTGGGAGGCTTTCCAGCCTTCCCGGCTCCGAAGCAGGGCCTGGTGCCAGGATGCCAGAGTTCTGTCCTGGTTGCACATCTGATGTGATGGAACCCACGTGACCATGGTCAGCAGGCGACAAAGCAAAGGGTCCTGGAATCGTGAATGGGACAACTTAGAACAGATCAAGGGTTTAATTTCTCCTTAACAGGTGGGGAAACTGAGGTCAACGTGGACGGCTAGAAGGATGACATCTTGGAACTGACAAATATAAGATTAGAGCTCACTCCTGGGTTGCCCATTCCTAAAAGGATGTATTTCTGGTGAGGAAAAACATCTCTCCTGCCTGAATGCCACCTTGCCCTTAGGAAAGGCTGCAGAGTACTAAAGGCCAGATGCAAAATCCTATCTCTTAATATTCTGCACACTCTACTTCTTAAAAATTAATATTAATATGTTACTATTGGAAAGAGCGTGTCGCTAGCCCCTCTCCCTTCCACCCCAGCTTGTCTCAGCCTCCAGGCCTGCTCCCTCCGATGTGAACCTGGCATGGGACGCCAGGCCCTAGTTCAGATCTGGCAGGGGAGGTGCTGAAAGAAAGCTCCCAGGGTGGCGCCGCCCACAGGGCCACTCCGCGGCGCCCCTAACTGCTTTGTGCTTCTTAGCTTGTAACCCACGCCCTAAAGTGGAGGTGAAGAGGCCGGCGGGTGCACCGGGGGCGTGTGCCCTGGGGGAGGGCCCTTGGCACCAGACCCTCATCCCTTAATAATACCTAAGGCTCACTGCACCGCCCCTCTGTCTGCAACGCTCTGCTTTTTGACTATACCGGGATCTCCGATTGCTTAGTGCACCTCTTCTGATCTGGTCCTGCTCATTCATCCCGTCCTCGGTCGGAAACAGCCACTTCACAAGGACTGCTTCACCTCAGAGCCTGACAGCAAAAACTCAGCTTCTCATTTACCACGCGGAAAAGCCCAGGCCTCCCTTTCCCCCACACACCCCAATGCCACTTCCAGTCTAGACTTGATCGTGTGTGAGAGCGGGAGACTGGAAGAGATTCAGGTAGAAAGAACCCTACAAAAGTCAGGGTGAGGCTGGGAGGGGAGACATGCACCGCCCCACTCCAGTGGCCGCTATCAGGACGGAAAAGGTTTGTAGGAATCTTGCTTCCATCCTGTCTCTCAAAATCCTTGTTTCCCCTTCAGTGCTCTGAAAAATATAACCGAGCTTAATAAAGCAGGTCAGCACAAAGTAATGCAAAGTACGACGCGAGTGTGTGTTGCCTGGGTTTCTCTGAGTCCCCCTCTCCAGTGTCTTCTGTGCTCGGATGACCCCGCAGAAACTCTGAGATTGGGACTTCTGGAGCAGGACTCCTGGGCCAACGTGCGTGTGACGAGGTGGTTAGGGGAAAGAGGCTCCTCGGACCTGCTGTGGAATTCCTTTCCCACTCCCAGCTCCCAATCCAAACCACCCTGGCCTCCGGCTCTCCGGTCACCCAAGCACCCGGGCTTGGAAGGGAGTGAAGGCCACGCCTTTGCTAAAAGAGCACCTGCTTGCATTTTGCCTCAGTTTCCCTTAGGGCCAGGAAAAAAGAGGAGAAATTCGTGTTCTAAAGTAGCTCAGGACAGTCTGACCGTCTCAGACTCGTCTTGGGTGCTTTGAGAAAGGAGAGAAACTCTCTCGCTGCATCCAGAACAGGACGTGGGGCCAAGGGGTGCTGGGCGGGGACTCCAACGCACGCGCTGGGCGACTCTGGTTTCCTGCCCTGCTAGTGGCCGTCGGCGGGGGTGGGAGCTTGAAGGGAGGCGGATTAAGCCCTTAATTACGCCGTGATCGGCGGCCAGGCACCTGCCTTCCGCCCGCCCCGCTCCCCCGGGACACGGCGCTGGGGGGTGGAGAGAAGGACCGGCGCGGCGGAGCGCGCGGGACGCCGGCCGTACCCAGGCGCGCGGAGCACAGCGGCACCGTGGCTGCGGCGGCGCGCCCAGGCTGTGGAGGGGCGCCCGGCTCCCGGCCCGCGGGTCCCGGACCCAGGGCCTGGGCTCCGAGCCCCCCGCCCCGGGCCGGGCCGGGCCGCGCCATGCTGCGCTACCTGCTCAAGACGCTGCTGCAGATGAACTTGTTCGCGGACTCCCTGGCCGGGAACGTCTCCAACTCCAGCGAACTGCTCTTCGGCGGCTTCAACTCCTCGCTGGCGGCGCTCAACCACAGCCTGCTGCCTCCCGGGGACCCCGCTGTCAACGGTGAGACCCCCGGGAGGGCACGGCGGGCCCCGGGCTGGGGCCGAGGAGGGAGGCGGCGCCTGCCCGGGAAGGGGTCCCAAGAGCAGCCCCAGGGTGGGGTGCGGCGGCCGCGGGAGGCAGAGGCTCCTCGCCCGCACCGGGCCGGGAGAAGCCGACACTGGCTGGGCCATCGCGGGGCGCGAGGGCCGGCGGGGCTGGGGTGAGCCGGCCGCTCGCAGATCCACCCAGGTAGGTGGTTTCCAAGGACGCTCCCTGCCCCGGGGTGGGGAAGTCAGCGTGGTAAGTGTATTGTCACCGAGGGGCCCGGGGCAGCGACAGGTTCAAGGGAACTTAGCTCCAAGTTTGTGTGTGCGGTGGAACTCACAGCCGGGCACCCCGGCGGGGCTTCGGCGAGCGCGCAGTGCCGGCGGCGAGATCGTCACCGCTCGTTACCGTGATTAATAAACGGCTGAGACGGAGCGCGCTCCCCCAGCGCGGCGGGGAGGCCCGGCACTGTGCAGCGCCGGTAGGGGGTGCGCGCCGACCGCGCAGCCTGCCGGCCGCGCCGGAACCCCCGCGTCCGGGGCGCCTCTCCCGGGGTTTTCCTTCAGGCGCTCCCCGCCGCAGCCCCCGGTATCTCAGCTCGCGCGCAGGAGCGAGCCCTGCACCGGGGACTCGGAGGTATCGAGAAAGGAGGCTCCGCGCTACGCGCGTCGGTGTGCGGGGCGCTCCAGGTTGCTGGGGAGGAGCCCGGGAGCCCCATTAGCATGGCCATTAGCTATTCATTAGGCCGCCGTTGAAGCCTCTCCAGAGACAGGAGTGACAAGGAAGAAATTCCAGGGAAAGTGAGTCGGCAGCTGTGTCCGCCGGAATCGGGGGCCAGGGCTGAGCGGGAGGGCGTGGCGCTGTAAGAAGAGGCGGGAGGAAGAGGACGGGCATGAGACGGGGTTCTGCGAGGATCCACCCGCGAGGATTCCCACGAGGGTGCGCGCAGACCCCTTTTTGCCGCCGTCCCGGAGCCACGCGCCCCCTCGCCTGCCCTTTCCACGGGGTTTTCGCTGCGCGTCGTCGGGCGGCTCGTTTACGCGTGTCATTTGAGTGGGTATGGCACAGGGGAGATGGGATAGCCACGTTTTGCCCCTGAGGCAAATGGATGGAAGGCGAGTGGGACCACGATGGTGCGAACCAGCAGGAAGCAAAGTCTCCGCGGTCACGGCGCACACCCTGCTTCCGTCCCTTCCCGCAGTCACGCAGGAGCGCGGGGCCGGGGCGAGGCCGGGCGAGCTGGAGAGGAGGAGCCTTTGGGCGCAGTAGTATGTAAAGACCTCGTCCCCAAGGGCGTTCCATCCGTGTTGGGCTTTGGACCCTCACGTTACAGTGGAGATAAAGACACTGCCACTCGGAGAAGTTAAAATAATTTGCCCGGTTCTTAGACAGCCAGGAAGTCTAAAAAGTTCAGGAAGTTCCAGCCTTGGGTGTTTGCAACCACTGCGGGGGAGGGGGGGCTCCCCTTGGAGTGTGGCCGAATTGGGGTTCGCCGGGAAGGCCTAGAAGACGCGAGCAAGCGGCAGAGCGCTGCACTTAGGAGGGAGAAGATGCAGGAAGCGCCTTCTTCCCCAGCAGGTTAAATAAAATCCAGGGCGGCGCCGGCTCGCGGCAGTCTGTCCAGCTTTGTCTGCGCTGAACTTGTAAGAGGAGAGGCAGGAAACCAATCTGATCCCACTCGGAGTTTGGAAGCTAGAGTTCGCTGAGGGTTTGGGAACAAGGTGGGAGGAGCGGGCGGCGGGGGGGGGTGGGGGGGGGGACACACGCGCCCGGTTGTCTGAGGTTAAGGACATCAGATTACCGAAGCTGCAGCGGCACCTACTGGTGCATAAGGGTTATAAATTCTCCTGGAGGGGGCTGAAAAAGTTGAGTACAGTACTTTTTTTTGTTCTTAAAACATTTATTGGGTTGGGGGTATGGCTCAGTCCGCACGACGCCTGCCTAAAAAGTGTGAGGTCTTGAGTTCAATTCTCGATACCAAAAAAAAAAAAAAAACCCTAGGTAGGAAAGGTACTATACTATTAAAAAACTCAGAAAAAAAAAACACAAAAACTCAGCATAAATATTTGAGTGTTTAAATGAAACCATCACAATTTTCAACATCGACTAGTTTTTGGTGTACGAAGTCTAAAAAAAGAATAACAGAAATAAATTCCTATGTATGCTGCAATGAAAATACCAACCAATGGCATGCTACAAAAATAATTTTTTTTTTTTTTTTGGTCTTTTTGAGACAGGGTCTCACTATGCAGTTAGGCTGGCCTTGGGCTCACTTTGAAGCACAGGCTGGTCTCGAACTTGCAACAATCCTCCTGCCTCAGCTTCCTGCTGGGATTACAGGAGGGCACCACCATGCCCAGCTAAAAAAATAATCTTCAAGTATCACGCCTACAGTGACCTTCTCGACCACAGCACACTCCATATACATGTATCGCCTGCACTGACGGCACACGTGTTTTGATTTCTGGCCTTTTCATGGGACACACTTGACATCTGGCTGGTCTTACTACTTTGTCAGAGGTTCTTATTATATGACACAATGTGTAGTTAACAGGAACATGAAATATCAAAATAAAGCATTAAGTTCTCAATTTGTATTGCATGTTTAGAATAAACATCAACATTTTCACACCAGCTGTGTACTTGCTCACAAAACCTAAGAGATAACAGAGTGAGCACAATATTTAACCAGCTCTGGAATCCCAAACAGTGCCACAGGAATGAAAAAGGCTGTCCATAGGCCTAGGGAGAGGCAGGACAGACTATGCAGACCAACCCCTCCGTGAAGCACAGACCTAGAGGAAATTTTTTCCCGGATGTGTTTGTTGGCTACATCAACCAGTCCAATAAGCTGTTGAAATCACTGCTCCTAGGGGCTAGGGATTTAGCTCAGTGGCATAAGTGCCTGCCTTGCAAGCAGGCAGTCGTGAGTTCGATCCCTGGTACCGATAAAAATGAAAAAGACAAAAAAAAAAAAAAAATCACTGCTCCTCTCAGAAAAAGGAGCATTACCCACATGTCTACTCCCATTTGTGTTCAGTCCCCAGGACCTCACAGGACCTCTGAAGTGCTGTCATTAACTGGGGTGTAGCACAGGCCAGGTGAAGCGCCCTTCCTTCCAGTCTCGGGCCCCAGGCTGATCACTCATGGTTTACTTTTTTATAAGAGATACAAGGCCAACCATGTTGTTTGTTTCTTTGGTCCATGTGGAGAGGGGTAAAAAGAACGTGGTGTCTCTGGAGTGCTGTGCTCGATTGTTCAGCGAACAGGGTAGGTGAGAACAGGCGGGGTAATCACCGTACCTGGCTGCTCTCCTCATTTACACTTGGCTGGAGAGGCTGTCTTCAGTGATCCAGAAAGCCCATTTAGGAGTCGGAGTCTTGATTTCTCTACAGATCTTGTTTTAGGCTTCTTCTTTCCAACCCAAGAAAGTGTAGATAGGGAGATATCAGAGCCTGCAGAGGAAGAGGGTGGGCAGGCAGACCCTGAGCTCCAGACAAAGCTTGGAAGATGAGGTGTTTCCCTCTGGAGTTTGGGCCTGAGCTCTCTCCTTTCTCTGCAACAGTGTCCAGGGTTGAGCCGGAGGATGCCATGCCGCGCATTGTGGAACAGCCACCAGATCTGCTGGTCTCCCGCGGGGAGCCGGCCACGTTGCCGTGTCGCGCTGAGGGGCGTCCTCGACCCAACATAGAGTGGTACAAGAACGGGGCGCGTGTAGCCACTGCGCGCGAGGACCCACGCGCGCACCGCCTACTGCTGCCCAGTGGTGCTCTCTTCTTTCCACGCATCGTGCACGGGCGCCGCGCGCGGCCGGACGAGGGCATCTATACGTGTGTGGCACGCAACTACCTCGGGGCCGCTGCCAGCAGAAACGCCTCTCTGGAGGTGGCAGGTGAGAGATCGCCTCCAGAGCCTGGAGTAGACCCCCAAGAGCCAGCCTCTGGGGTCTCAACCTATTCCCATTCTCGGAACCGCCACTTTTGGTCTCCAAGGTCCATTCATACCCCGGCCAGGTCTGACTCGGACCTGGGCTTTTGAAACCTGGGCAAGATCGCCTTCCGGAGACAATGCTTACTGTGTGTCATCACCAAGTTGCTGCACATCACACTCTGTTTGTTCTGCTTTCTCCCCGCATGACGCTCTTCTCTCTCTTCAGTCCTCCGTGAAGATTTCCGGCAATCTCCTGGGAACGCGGTGGTGGCAGTGGGGGAGCCAGCAGTAATGGAATGTGTGCCCCCCAGGGGCCACCCTGAGCCTTCTGTGACTTGGAAGAAAGACAGTGCAAGGCTTAAGGAAGAGGAGGGAAGGATCACGGTGAGAGTGGGACCATGGGCTGTGGTCTGGACATGGTCTCAAAAGAGGCCTGTAAAGGACCTGGGTCCTGAGAATAATGTCCTGGTGCCTCCATTGTGGGAGACTTGAGTGCAGGGCACCAGATGGTCAGAAGCTGAGAGCCAGCTGTCGAATGAGAGACAAGAAGGGTAGGGTAGACTTGATGGAAGAAAGGTAAGGAAAGAGGTACATATCTGTCGTGCCAGGCTGAGGAAGGAGGATCACTTCGAGTTCAAGGCCAGCTGGGGCTACATAGTGATACCCTGTCTCAAAAAGCCAAAAAGTTAAAAAAAAAAAAAAAAAAAAGAATTAAAGGAGAAGAGGGAGAGATCCCAGGGATGGCACATCTGATACTTGGCTCAACTTCATTGGTTATTTTCATGGGCTCATTATGAGAAACAAATAAATGTTGTACATGCACACACACGTGCACACACACACATATTTTGGTGGCTACAAAGGACCAAAGTTACCATGTTTACCCTGCAGATACGTGGAGGGAAGCTGATGATGTCACACACACTCAAGAGTGACGCCGGCATGTATGTGTGTGTGGCCTCCAACATGGCAGGAGAGCGGGAGAGCGGGGCAGCTCAACTTGTGGTCCTGGGTATGCACCAGGAATTTGGACTTATGGGGGTGGTGAGCCCCAGGAGGAGGTAGCTGTGCAGGCCCCCTGACTGCTGGCTGGCTCCCACTCTGTAGAGCGCCCCTCATTCCTGCGCAAACCAGCAAACCAGGTGGTCCTGGCTGATGCCCCAGTGAATTTCCTGTGTGAGGTACAGGGAGATCCCCCGCCTCACTTACGCTGGCGCAAGGAGGATGGGGAGCTGCCCACAGGCAGGTGAGAAGCTCCTTCCTTCTACCTTAGACCCCTGTAGTTCAAGGGGGGACCCTGCCCTAGAAAGCTGGAAAACAGATCCCCTCCCACCTGAGAGCACAGGACCTCGGCGCCCATTCCCCAGGGCCTGAGCTCCTTGTCCTATGCAGTCCCCACTATGTCGGCGTCCTGCCTTGCCTTTCTGTACTGAGTCCCGCTTTGCCTCTCCATCCTCTGACCTTGGCATCTGTCCTGAGGGACAGAGAAGGGCTCTGTGGCTGTGGCCAACCTGGCTTGGGGGCGGGGAGTGGAGCAGGTATGAGATCCGGAGTGACCACAGCCTGTGGATTGGGCGCGTGCGTGCCGAAGACGAAGGGACTTACACCTGCGTGGCAGAGAACAGCGTGGGCCGAGTGGAAGCCTCCGGCTCCCTCAGCGTTCACGGTGAGGCCTCCACCTAGGACTTGGGCAGCAAGGGTGATGTGACGGAGGTGGAAGATGGGCCGGAGTGGAGGAGAATGAGGCAGAAAGGACGGCCCAAATGTGGGTGGGACACTTGTGACTTAGGGAAGGAGAGACACTTACACAGGCTTATGCAAAATCTAGGCATGGGCTTCTCTCTCCTGCACCCTCACTCTCCGCTCTTGATTCTCCTGAGTCCTTGTTCCTTTCTCTTCCTCCTCTTCCCAGTCCCACCCCAGTTGGTAACCCAGCCGCAGGACCAGATGGCAGCTCCTGGTGATGACGTGGTCTTCCAGTGTGAGACCAAAGGAAATCCCCCGCCTGCCATCTTCTGGCAAAAGGAGGGGAGTCAAGTAGGTGACCAGTCCACTGTCCTGCCACCAGCTTCTCCTTTGTGTCTTAACCTTCCCCTCTCTACATTCTGGAAACTTCTCCCAGGGCTTCTGTGTCACCTTTGGTGTCCTACCCACTAGAAATCTTTGCAGGTTATTTGGGAGGATTAATCCAGGAAAATGGATATAAAAGACCTAGAGCATTGGATACCCTCTAAAAATCACAAATAATACAGTAATATGTTTAGGTAGTAAGGGGCACACATGAGTGGTAAATCTGTGGAGAATCTTCCTATTTGGGACAAAAATGTTCCAGGGATGCAACAAGTCCAATTAGATCCCCTCCCCTAGGCCTTTTGGGCCTTGGTTTTTGGGCATTACCTAATCCTCTGGAAATCAAGTATTTTTTTTTCTTTTTCTTCTTGATATGAAGGATCAAATTCACAACCTAGCACTTGCCAGGCAGGCACTTAGGCCACTGAGCTAAATCCCCAGCTGGAAACCAAGTTTTTAACTGGAACATTACTTGTTCTTCCTATGTGTACCTCCCTGTACCAGAGGAAGCTCACAGTTGTCCCCTTCCTCTGAGCTCTGTGTACTCACTGGGGAACACTCATTGAGGATACATCAGTAATTCTCTCTAGAGAAAGATAAGAATTTTGCTACTAGGAAACAGGGTCGGCATAATAAAATAAATCTGATTTTCTTCCCTCACTGGAAAACCAGGCAACCCACAAATTTCTCCCAAATCCACAGCCATAAGTTTCCAGTGTCTTCTCTAGCACCAGCAACTGGTGTATTTTATAGATTATCACGTGAATGAAGACAATGATGATCACAGAGGTGGGAAAAGGTGTCACTCAGAGACCCAAACCTGCTTCTCTATCTTCTGTGTGTCTGTCTAAAGAAAGACAGCAACAAGAAAGGCATTTAATCCTTTTAACTACCCTGTAAGAGTCCAATTTACAGAAACTAAAGTTCAGGTTTGTTCAGTTTCTCAATTAGAAAGTCACAGAAGGAAGCTGTCCCCAAAATAGTCTAACACAATTTATTTTTGTAAATAGGCCACCATCTCTTCAGCGGCTGGGGGCAGTGCAAGCCAAAACCATTGGAATTGTGTGGATCCCAGGACAGACAGGCTTGGGGGATGCTCCCTGCCCAGCTAGCTGCTCATCGCCTTTCTTGGTTCCTTGCTCTGTCTCAGGTCCTGCTTTTCCCTAATCAGTCACTTCAGCCCACGGGACGAATCTCAGTCTCTCCCAGAGGCCAACTCAACATCACTGAAGTGCAGAGTGGGGATGCTGGTTACTATGTGTGCCAGGCTGTCAGTGTGGCTGGCAGCATCCTGGCCAAGGCACTGCTGGAGATAAAAGGAGGTATCTGCTCAAAGACAGGGCTGCACCCATCATCTGAAAGGATGTGGTCTTAAAAGCTCAGTTTCTCTTGGAAGCGTGGCGGGGTGGAGGGTGCTCTTGGGGCAAGTCCTTAAAGTTCGGAAACCAGGAACAGAATGGTTGCAGGCTCCCTTGGATCACCAGGCAGTGGGGAGACAGAAGAAAGCTGACAGTGAGGATAAGGGGCTGGTTGCCTGACCCTAGACTCCTCCCCTGAGATGCCCAAGTTCTTCCTCTCTCAGCCTCTTTGGATGGGCTGCCTCCCGTCATCCTCCAGGGACCAGCCAATCAGACCCTGGCTCTCGGCTCCTCTGTGTGGCTGCCATGCAGAGTGTCTGGGAGCCCTCAGCCCAGAGTCCAATGGAAGAAGGATGGGCAGTGGCTGCAGGGGGATGACCTTCAGTTCAGCCTAATGGCCAACGGCACTCTGTACATTGCCAGAGTGCAGGTGAGTGTCTTTCCTGGGGCCCTTGTGACTGAGAATGGCAATCTGCTCCACATCCCCCACTCCAGTAAGTACCCCCTGGACCTCTAAGCCTGTTTCTACCCCTCTGCTCTCTTGGACTTTCTAAAGTATCCAGCATCTTCTTCATCCTTCTGTTAGCTGCCTCCATCCCCTCACCCCACGTTGCTGCACTCCCAGTGTCCAGCACTCTATCCTCTTCTACAGGAGACGGACATGGGCTTCTACAGCTGTGTGGCCAGGAGTTCCATAGGGGAGGCCACCTGGGGTGGCTGGCTCAGGAAGCAGGGTGAGTTTCTTCTTCATGCCCTTGTTTTGCTGGCACCTTTCTCCAAATCTTTCAAACGCAATCAGTAACTTTCCAAGCCCCAGGCTAATTTTATCTTCCAAATGCCATGGCCACAGTTTTGGGGATGAGGAGGAGTGGTGCGCGTGGGAGGCAGATATGTGTAGGTGTTGGTAGTGTATACTCTGTTGCCCTATGACCTTCACCACTGCCACAGTTCCACAGCTCCTCTGGGAAGGAGACGGGGTACACTGGGCCATCTTTTCCCCATCCTTCTACTTACTGATTATCTACCACTGCAGAAGATTGGGGAGCATCTCTAGATCCCCCTACAGAACACGGTACCCCTCCGGGGCCTCCCTCTCAGCCAGTGGTCACTGAGATCACCAAGAGCAGCATTACCTTGACCTGGAAGCCCAATCCACAGGCTGGGGCCACAGTCACCTCCTATGTGATAGAGGCCTTCAGGTATGGAGGAAGTTCTGAATGCAGACCTGGACAGTTAAAAGGAGGGCACCATGTGCCCTTTGGGTCTTTGCTGCTGTGGGGAGGGATTCTCCAGTTCCCTCTCCCAAGGTGCAGAAGCAGTAAGTACCCCAGACAGTGGGTGAGGGGGAGTAGATTAGTGGGGGGTTCTTGGCTTAGACAACCCTGTCACCTCATTGCTGTTGTAGCCAAGCAGCTGGGAACACATGGCGGACAGTGGCAGATGGTGTGCAGCTGGAGACACACACGGTCAGCGGTCTACAACCCAATACTATCTACCTATTCCTTGTACGAGCTGTGGGAGCCTGGGGCCTCAGTGAACCCAGTCCTGTGTCTAAGCCTGTCCGCACCAAGGGTAAAGTCAGAGTCCCGGGGCTGTGGGGATGACATATAATATGCACAGACTCCCCTCCCCAAACCATGACACTGGAAGATCATAGGTTCCTTTCCTCCTTTGCTAGGCCTACCCTGGAATAGGAGGTCATGTATCACCCTCATGGTGGGGATGAGAGGAAGAGGGGGTAGACGTTCATTTTGGTAGCTGTTCACTTCTGTGCCTTATATCCATTGATAATGGCTGTTAAGACTAGAAGGGAGAAGAAAAAAAAAAAAAAAACTAAAGGGATCTGGGGGTCATCTTCACTCTGAAAATGAGGACCCAAGGCCTTCAAAGGAGGCCAGTGTAGTTATGTGGAGAGAACATTCTTGATAGCTGAAGCCTAGGCCCACCTCTGCAAACGATTCCTCTGGCCACCTCAGTCAGACTCTTGAGTAATACGGTCAGTGAGGCAGGGTACAGGTAGGGCACAAATTCATTCTCAGGCTTGTCTCCTTGTCCTTGGTGGCCCTGCTGAGCGTGTTCTTTGATCAACAGACAGCAACCCATCCAGGCCAGTGGAGGACCCATGGAGAGGCCAGCAGGGCCTGGCTGAAGTGGCTGTGAGAATGCAGGAGCCCAGAGTCCTTGCAGCCCGGACGCTGCAGGTGTCTTGGACTGTGAGTGTGGCACAGGGATGAGATTAAGGGGCGACAGAAGGGGACACGAGTATGGGGAAGGGAGGTGAGTGGCTAGGGGAGGTGTGAGGGGAAGTGCTGGGCCTGCAGGAGCAGGTGGCCCCAGCCTGCCCTCTGGTTGCCTCCTGTCCTGTATAGGTGGATGGCCCAGTCCAACTGGTACAAGGCTTCCGGGTGTCCTGGAGGGTAGCAGGCCCTGATGGGGGGAGCTGGACAGTGCTAGATCTGCAGACCCCAAGCCAGCAGAGTACTGTGCTAAGAGGACTTCTTCCAGGGACCCAAGTCCAGATCAAGGTGCAAGCACATGGCCACGAGGGGCTAGGGCCTGAAAGCCCCTTTGTGACCTGGAGCGTTCCTGAAGAGGGTAAGGTGGCCACAGAACTAATACTGGGAGAGGAGAGGATGGGCATTTGCAATGGGCATTTGCGGGGAGGGCAGGGAGAGAGGGCTGCCTCTTGGATTTCTGGGGTCTAAGAGCAGAGAGGGGGAGAGTGGAGCAGCCTACTTTGACTGTCGGTGTCCTGGTCATGTTTCACCCTGGCCCAGCACCCAGTGGTCCCCCCCAGGGAGTGACGGTGGCCTTGGGGGGTGACGGCAACAGCAGTATCACTGTGTCCTGGGAGCCTCCACTCCCCTCCCAGCAAAACGGGGCCATCACGGAGTACCAGGTACCGCGCAGGGCTGGAGGAGGGACTGGGTGTGTGCGTGGGGATGGGGGGACAAACTCGGCCAGGGTTTGTGTGGAGGGAGCCCAGCGCTGGCCCCGGACCAGGACCGGGTTTCCGGGTGTGGTCTGCAGGCTGAGGAACGCCTGGCTGAGCTCTCGCTGCTCTTCAAGGCCTCAGTTTCCCGCGGGGTCAGATCGCATCCCTGCCTCTGATCGCGGTCCTCACCTCCCCAGATCTGGTGCCTGGGCAGTGACAGCCGCTTCCACCTCAACCGGTCGGCGGCAGGCTGGGCTCGCTCGGCCACGCTCCGGGGACTGCGGCCGGGTCTGCTCTACCGGACTCTGGTGGCGGCGGCCACCAGCGCTGGCGTGGGCGTGGCCAGCGCCCCGGTGTCGGTGCAGCTGCGTGAGTCGGGCGGTGGGCGCGGGCGAGCGGGGCAGGGAGGCTGCGGGCGCCTGCGGGGCCGGGGCAGCGGCGCCAGCTCAGCACCCGGGCTTCGGGCCCTCCCCTGCCCTCTCTGCCCCCCCACAGCATCCCCGCCGGGACTGGAGCCGGGCCTCGAGGTGGGCCGGGGGCCGGCGGAGCGGCTGGCGCGGGTGCTGCGGGAGCCGGCTTTCCTGGCGGGCAGCGGCGCCGCCTGCGGGGCGCTGCTGCTCGGGCTCTGCGCCGCCCTCTACCGGCGCCAGAAGCAGCGCAAAGAGCTCAGTCACTACGCCGGTGAGGGCGAGCTGGGGTTGGGGGGGCGCCCGCAGGGCGGGGAGGCGGGGCCCGCGGCGGGAGGGGGCGCGCTCAGCCACGGGGGGGAGGGGGAGGGGAGAGGTGAGGGAGGCGTGGGAGAGAGGGAGAGGTGGGGGAGGGCTGGCGCCCGGGCTGCCAGGCGTGGCTGGGGTTTAAGGGCAGATGAAGATTGGGCACCACCTGGATTTGAGGCCAAGGGCAAAAGCGCGGCTAAGAAGCCCGGGGAGGGGAGTGGGGATCCCAGCTCAGAGTCCCAGTAGCAGGCCCCTTCCGGCAGGGGAGGGCGCGGGACCTGGCCCGAGGAGATGGTCGGGGTCCCAGGAAGTGAACTGTGGACTGGGGTCCGGACGGCACGAAGGGCCGGCTGCCAGGCGGCGACCTGATGCCTGCTGCTCCCTAGTGAGAGGCATCTCTGGAGAGACGCCGAGGGCTCGGGGCTAGTGGTTTCCGGGCCTGGCTACACACAGGAATTATTTGGGGAGCTTTGGTTCGGGGACCTGCGTTCCGACGTGGTTGGTACAGTAGACGTGGGACTGGAACGGGGTGGACAGGCACACGGGTCTCATTCTCTTCTCCTCTCTCCTACGGGCTCCTTTTCGGAAGCCTCCTTTGCCTACACGCCTGCAGGTAAGCCTTCTCTGCCTGCGTGGGGTTCAGGCCCCCAGTACGGGGCCTTCTCTCACTGGTTCTCCCCCTCCTCTTCCCCAGTGTCCTTCCCACACTCGGAGGGCCTCTCTGGAGCCAGTTCCAGGTAATTCTCCCAGCTGCCTTCCGGGGTGACCGCTTCCATCGAGTCCATGCCTTCCTCTGCAGGCCCCCTGCCTTCCACCCGGCACCCCTGTGCTGTGACGCGCCTCCCTTACCTTACTGAGGGGTTCACTCCCAACGCTCACCTGCTCCCCCGACCCCAGGCCACCCATAGGCCTCGGCTCCGCCCCCTACTCCTGGCTGGCAGATTCGTGGCCCCACCCCTCCTCCGGAAGCCCCGCAGCCCAGGAACCCAGGGGAAGCTGCTGCCCCAGCAACCCCGACCCGGAGGACAGATACTACAATGGTGAGAAATTCTAATTCCTTCAGCCCGCACCCCTACCCCGCCTACTGGGGGAAACGAAAGAGCCCCAGTCTTCCTGAGGTTGGTCTTGGATGACTATGCATCAGGGGACAGACCTGACCTTTGCTTTGGGTCACGGAAGGTTTGGGGTGCTGGAGGAAGCCGATCCTCTGAGGTCCCCCTTTGCGCTCCATTCTCCGGTAGTGCGGTGCGTTTCTGTCTCCGCCCCCTGCCTCCTCCCTCGGGCTCCCTCTTTCTCCTCCTCAGAAGCAGGAATCTCCCTGTACCTGGCCCAGACCGCCCGGGGCACTGCTGCGGCTGCCGAGGCATCCGTCTACAGCACCATTGACTTAGCAGGGGAGGAGCTGCAGACCTTCCACGGGGGGTTCCCCCAGCACTCCTCTGGGGACCCAGGCACCTGGAGCCAGTATGCTCCTCCTGAATGGAGTCAGGGGGATGGTGGTATGACCCCGTTGCTTACACCCCAGTTTTAGCCCTGTCCAGAGTACCCGACACCTCGCTGAGCACTTCCTTCCGACTTATCTCATCTTTGGCTCTTGCCCGTTATCTTTAATTTACTCTCCTCAGGGGCGCGGGGAGGCAAAGTGAAGCTTCTAGGAAAAGCTGTGCAGATGCCCTCTCTGAACTGGGCAGAAGGCCTGCCACCACCTCCTCCCTCCTGTGAACTGGGCTGCCCAGAGGGGCCCGAGGAGGAGATGGAGGGCAGGTAAGGACGTTGCCTGCTGCAGTGCCCCATGTGGGGACCCACCGAGGCCTTCTGGGTTACAGGCGCCGGTAGAGGAAGGGAAGGGGGCAGTGGAAAGGCCAAGGGGTAGGTATGGGAACCACTTGGCCCTTCCTTTCCTTTCCTGCTCTTTGCCCCCAGCTCAGAGTCAGAAGAGTGGTGCCCACCAATGCCTGAGAGAAGCCACCTGACTGAGCTCAGCTCCAGTGGAGGGTGCCGGATGGCTCCATCCCCAGGGGAAAGCCCCTCTCCTACACCCTCCTATGGACAGCAGTCCACAGCCACTCTTACCCCCTCACCACCTGACCCTCCCCTGCCCCCCAGTGACATCCCCCATCTCCATCAGATGCCCAGGTAGGGAGGTGTGCAGACCTCACACATCACAAGCCCTCTGCCCATCCCTGTTCAGTGCCTGGGTGGGTGGATAGCTGAATCCGGATGCAGAGGTCTCAGGATGTGTCAGGGCGGAGTGACATGGGGAAGGAAGCAGAGGCTGAGAAAGTCTCGCATTCTCTTCAGGCTCGCTCTTGGACTGAGTGCAAGCATTCCAAGGCATTTCAAACACGGCCTTGTCCAGCTCCCCTGGCTGGGGAGGCCTTGTGGGACAGTGGGCTGTCTTGTCTTTCTGAGTATTAGGCTGATGTCTGCTACAGTGCCTGGAAAGTTCTTAGTTTTTGTGAACCGAACAAATGCAGAGGCCTCATGTCATTGCAGGAGGGCACCCCTTGGGCCAAGTTCCCCTCTCAGTGTCTCCCAGCCCACTCTGAGTAGCCACGAAGGGAGGCCCACTGGCCTGGGTGCTGGCCCCACAGCCTCCCATCACCTCAGCCCCAGCCCCATCCCTAGCACTACCAGCAGCACCCCAGGTGAGTCTGGACCCTCACTTGGCCCATTCTCTCCGGACCCCTCAAGCTTGTTACCCCTCACCTGACCTCTCTTGTCTGACCTCTCTCCATCCTCGGATGCTACAGGGAGAGCCCTTCAGGTCCCTGGGGAGATGACTCCTCCGCCTCAAGGACCCCGTGCCCGAATCCGAAAAAAGCCCAAGGCTCTTCCCTATAGGAGGGAGCGCAGTCCCGGGGGTGAGGGGACCCTGAGTCTGGGAGATGGGGTCAGAGAGGGAGGGAAGAGATCAAGGATGAGCTCTGGGGGCTGAGCAGGCGGACCCAGATTGTGGGCCATTGAGCTGCAGCCTCCTGGTGTCAGGGAAGGAAGGTGGGCAGAAGGTGAGACCCTGCTGAGAACCCGTCTCTCCCCAGACTTGCCTCCCCCGCCCCTGCCACCACCAGAGGAGGAGGTGGGGTGGACCTTGGGGCTGAGAGCGGCAGGCAGCCTGTCTTCCTTGGAGAGGAAAGGAAGTGGGGAAAGAAGAGTGTTGCAGGCCGTGCCCCCCGGGACCCAGAGCGGCCCCCATCAGGAGGGTAAGGAGGGCGTGTGATGGGGGGAGACTGAAGGCTGGTCCTGGTGGTATCCAAATCACCCTTCACCTTTAGTTGGGTTCTTGTGTCTGGTCAATGTCAAAGACTCTTGTTCTCCAGCTGTCTTTGACCAAATCCAGGATATGTCCTATCTCGGGGCTGAAACCTAGGACAAGAGGAGAATGGGGTGTGGGAGCTCTTCCCCAGGGCTCTCTCCATTCGGGAGCTCCCCACATACTTCTGAGCCCCCTTATGTCAAGGCCATATCCTGGGCACTCTACTTCTCCTCAGCACTCAGCATGACCAAGGCCAGTGCCTGCCCCTCAGTCACCTCCCAGCACTAGGATGGCAGTTAGCATGGCCAGTGGTGAGCAGGGACATGGTGCCCCTTGCCCGGGCCCAGCCACACTCCTCTGTTGTACTGCAGAAGGGGCCTGGCTCCCGTGCAGCAGACCAAGCTTCCTGTCCCGAGGCCAAGGCACCAGCACCTGTTCCACAGCTGGGAGCAACTCTTCTAGGGGCTCTGGCAGCTCTCGGGGTTCTCGAGGCCCTGGACGGAGCCGGAGCCGGAGCCGGAGCCACAGCCAAAGGCCAGGACAGAAACGCCAGGAGGTGGGGACCAGAGACCACAGAGAAATGCGAGTGGAAGGCCAGGGAGGGCAGGCCAATGGGTGACTGAAAACAGAGAGGTACAAAAGAGACAGGGGAAGGGGTCAAAAGGAGACTCAGTGTGCGTGTGTGTGTATGCGTGTGTATGCGTGTGTGTGTGTGTGTGTGTGAGAGAGAGAGAGAGAGAGAGAGAGAGAGAGAGAGAGAGAAAGAGAGAGTCCTGTAGAACTCTGAAAAGTGTAGGAATGCATGCATGCCTGTTATCCTAGGCACATGGAAGACTGAAGCAGGAGGACTACGTGTCTGAGTCCAGCCTGAGCACCTTAGACACTGCCACAAAATAAAAGTTTAAAAAAGGTTTGGCCAGCCTGGGAGAGGCTCTGAGCCCAATCATCAGTACAACAAAAAACAACAAATAAATAAATACATAAGAAAAGGAAGAAGACAAGATGCCTCAACCTAGAGAGTGGACTGGGTAGTCATTGGAGTGTTGGACTGGGAGAGAGACTTGATTCCTTCCTCTGACACATTTGCCCTGGCCAGAGCTCTACAAATCAGCCAGCTTGTTTTTGTCTCTGTCTCCAGGAACCAAGATGACCCTTGATGAAGTAATGAGACCGTAGAGAGCCTCCCTGGGAGGGGGCGGGGGCCCTCCCCTGGTGAATGACAGCATGAACCTGGAGGAGCTGGAAGAGTCCTGTCCCCCTGCAGTGATGCAGTGAAGCCCCTTGGCCTTGGTAGCTTCAGTTGGTTTGGAAGTCATCAAGCTAGTGCTTTCCCTTGCATCTCGCTCTGACTGAGACCTGTTTGTATAAGAGACAATAAAGACGGACTGACCTAAACCTTGGATGTCTGTCTGTCTCGTGTGGTGAGCTGGCACCAAGGGGGCTGTGCCATTTGGTAGGTCAGTGCTCATAAGTTGTCTCTGTGTCCTCTTGAACGCCCATCAAAAGTACTAGGTGAAGACAAACACCAGGATACACTGACCTATTCCGGCCCCTAAAGGAGCTGAAGCCCCCTGTCCCGGGGCAATCAGAGGGACTTTCCAGATAACCTGGGAGCAGACACCTGCCCTGCCTTCAGAGGACAGAGGCAGGCCCTTCCTTGGCGCTTACCTCTCCGGTTTGTCTGCCCTTTTGTAAGGGAATGTGGTCACCACAACAAAAGTTTTTTTAAAACCCAAAGCAAGGAGAGGCAATTGCCAGGCAAGAAGAAAGTATGCATTTCTGCATGCTTGAAGCTCCCTCGAGGAAGATGTCTGCAAAGGGACACCTCTTGACCAGTTCACCAGTTTGGGCCCAGAGGTGACTGATGTGGCCATGAATGTCACAGTGTCCATCACTTGCAGCCCACTTGGTGATAGCCTGAGGAACTGTGTCCTTTTCCTTTGCTCCACCCTTGGCTCGGTGACTGCCCTGGACCCTGGTGCATGGCCTCTGCCCTCTAGGCTGTGGCCCCAACAGTACCCTCCAGGCTGACCCAAGTGTACAAATCCCTCTCTCTCCTGCAGGCTGGCACACAGAGTTGGAATGTTTACAAAAGGAATTTTAGCAGAAAACCCGAAAGTAAAGAGTTAGTATGGATTTGTACCTGAAACACCAATTCTTCTGGGATTGTGGAAACCCAGCTCAGAACGGCCTGATGAGCACATGCCCAGTCCCTGTGCCACCCACTTGGCTTCTGAACTCAGAGTGCACCTGCTTGACTTGGAGGACTAGTTCCCCCTCACAGGGCCCACTTCTGGATCACCCCTCCCCAGAGGCACCTTCCTATGCCCTTGGTCACCAGCCCCACCCTTGTGGACTCAACCCTTGACCTTTCCTGCCACCTGTGAGCCCAGCTCCCCCACTACTTAGCTTTCAGCGGCTCCCACCATGTTCATCTCTCTGCTCTCAAGTTTTATTGCAAGAGTATTCACCCACTAGCTGGCCATCACAGGTCTACCTTTTGTGGGATTTAGCATCTTTGCCTGTTTTTAAGGAACCATCTGGGACTCGTTTTTGAGCAGAGAGGCTGGAGCTGCAGAAGCAAGTTCTGTCTTCTCTCAGGCTGCCAGAGCCAGCAGACCCCAGACTCTCCCACCACCCCCTTTAGTAGGTTCTGCTTACACTTAGTGCTGCACCTCAGGCCCTGTACGCAATTGCAGAATGCAAATGACAGGGGTTCTCCCAGGGCCAGGGAAAGCTGGAGCCCTTCTTAACACATGTGCCATCCAGGTGCCTTCCCCAAGTGATGCCCCAGGAAATGATCTCACAAAGCTCAAGTCTTTATGGTTTTATAGCATCAAGTTCCAGAAGCTCAAAGTGACAGAGGGACGAGGAGGCAGGCTCCCCCACCTCTCTTTCTCCAGCTTCCTCCCTAGACCCATGGGAGCCCCTGGCTTTGGTCCTGGGTGGGACCTCAGTGCTGCCTCTTATGGGGAGGGTTGCACTGGCCTCAAGAGTGGGGGTGAGGCAGGGCTGAGAGAGGAGGCGCCCTTCTTCCATAGCCCCCCCCCAGCTGTAGGACCTTCTGTGGAGACCTCTCAGGCTCCCCATTTCCTGTGATCCCTAAGAGTGGGGAGAGCAGCTCCTTAGGCCAAAGGCCCAGGCTGTGGGGTGGCCATGAGGAGGAGACTCCTGGGGTCAGGTGGAGGTGATGTTTTGTTTCCAGAATGTTCCAGGACGGCTTTGCTCTCGTTTTCATCTCTCTTTTTTCTGGAGCAGTCTTGGTGGGAGAACTCTCCTGGAGGCACGGGCACAGGCCAGTCTTGTAAGCAGACGGGAAGGGTGGCCCTGATGTCCTATCCCAGGGACACGGGTCAGGAGGAGTCTGTAGTAGGAGTGAGGAAGAGTGGAGTCACCTCCCTTGACCCTGTGCCTCCTGCTGGACCCAGGCTTGCACTTGGCTCCTCCCCAGAGGCCCCGTGGGAAGCTCGCCACCATAGCCAGACCCCCGCACTTACCACCAGCCTTGGGCACATGACAGCTGAGCCGACTGCGCTGGGACGAGATCCCAGAGTCAGGGGTCCAAGGGGGCAGCCCCTTCCCCAGCTGCTGGGTGTGGTTGATCTCTATGTCCTCCAGCCAGTCTGGCCTCCACTCCCATAGGGACAAGGGAAAGGTGGGCGTCAGGGAGATGTCATCCCGTGGGGAGGGAGGAGATGAGGCATCTGTCAGGGAGAGCGGAGGGGTCTGTAGGGGGCTGACCTTCAGTCCCTAGGGGCCAGTTTAGGGCACAAAGCTTAGGTCCAGCTTAGAGTATACACCCAGTGCTAATACGACCTAGCCCCAACTCAGCCTTAGTCCGGTGATGGCAGACCAGGGCCCAGTCCATGGCTTCTTCTTTTCACTTTGCCCTGCCCCACCCCGCCCTCTTCCTCTCCCTCCTCCACCACTACTTCCTCTTTTCTTCTCCTCCTATCTTTATGTCTGTGTCTTTCCGTCTCTCTCTCCTTTTCTTCTGATGTTAGGAATTGAACCCAGGCCTTTTGCACTGTGCTACCTCCCCAGACCTCTTTTTATTTTTTATTTTGAGACACGGTCTCACTAAGCTGCCCTGGCCGGACTCCAGCTTGCAATCTTCCTGCTCCAGCCTCCAGGGTGCTGAGCTCCCCATGTGTGCTGCCCAGACATCAGTTCCTTTAGAGAGAATAGCTTGGGCTGTTTGCTTTAATTCATATGCTCTCCTTACTCTCATTCCCTCCACATCCACCTTCTGCCTCCATGAAGGGCATTTATTTCCCCCCAAAATACAGATTATTTCAAGAATGAAAAGAAAGGAAGAAGGGGGAAGAGGGAGAGGAGGAGGAAGAGGAAGGGGAAGAGGAGGAAGCGGAAGATAAAACTACATCCACAGCAAGATCTGGGGCACTTGTGTCTGGCTCATTTTTGCGCTCTCAGCTGAAGCCTGGTTGCTCTTGAGGGTGAAGGGCAGAGTTAGTATGATGGGCGTGGGGCAGCTGACAGGGCTCAGGGGCAGAGAGCACCAAGGGGACTGGTGAGTCCTGAGCTGCCCTCTGCTAACCTGCAGACCACAGGCCCGCTCTGCTAGACACATGGAAACAGCCCAGCCTCTCCTCAGGCCTGCCATGGACAGGGCAGGAGGAAGGCACAGCGGAAGGAGCAGGCATGCAACATGCAGTGGAAGGGGAAGCGGTGGAGGCGATGGCATGACTTTCCCTGGAAACCGTGTCTGGTTAGGGTGGAGCCCTGAAGACAGGGGAATGAAGAGAATGGCAGGAGCAGGTGCCTATGTGCTAGAATATTCCTTATGGCTGGAGGAAAGAGCCTCTTAATAAATGGTGCTGAGAAAACTGGCCTTCCACATGCTGAAGATTAAATCTAGAACCGTGTCTTTCACCATGCACTTAACTAAAATCAAAATGGATCAAGGATCTAAATATTAAACCAGAAAAACTTAACTTGCTGAAAGACAACATAGGCAAAATTTTTGAAGTCATTGGTATAGATGAGGCCTTTCTAAACAAAATCCCAATTAGGAAAGAGTTCTAAGAATCAACAAATGGGACCATATTACGTGAAAAGCTTCTGTACATAAAGGAAGCAACCAACAGGGTGAAAAGATAATGTACAGAGTGGGGAAAAAATTTTGCCAGCTATTTTTCAGACTGAAGACTCATACTTAGGATAGATAAAGAACCCCTTCCAAATTGTACTCTTCAAAATAAAAGACTCAATCAAAAAATGGACAAAATGAATGGACACTTCACAGAAGATGTATACATGATTAATGAATACATGAAGAAATTCTTGACATTCCTGGTCATTAGATAAATGGAAATTAAAACAACACTGAGATTCTGTCTTACCCCAGAAAAAAGGACAAACATCGAGAAATGAAGTAATAACAAGTACTGGAGAGATATAGAGGAAAAGGAACCCTTTGAAACTGTTGGTGGGAGTGTTGGTGGGAGTGCTGAAATCAGCACAGAGATGTCTCTACAACTAGACATTCCATTTGACCCAGGTTTCCCCTTCTGGATATCTTCCTGAGAGAGTTGAAGACATCACAGTACAGAGATACATGCACACTTGTGCTGATAGCAGCACAACTCACAGTGACTTAATATTGGAAGCAGATGATATGTTCATCAGCAGATGAATGGATAAAGGAAATGTGATATTTATGTACAATGAAACATTACTTTGCCACAAAGAAGGATGAAGTTGAATCGTTTGTACAAAATGGATTCATCTGGAGACCGTAATGTTAAATGAAATAAATCAAGAGACACAAGCTTAACTATTGCATGGTTTCTCTGATGTGAGAAACCCAAAGTAAAAGCAAAGAGCAAAATCCTAGGTAACAGGAAGTGGGGAGACAGATCATTCTCAGAAGGGAAGGGGTCAAGAGCTAGAGGGGGACGAAGCGAAGGGATAAGGGTTGGACTCCACAAATATCACGTAGTGCACACATGTTAAAGAAAGAAGAAAAGGGACCAAGGAATGAGTGGAGAGGGCAGGAAGAGAGAGAAAGGGGCTGGGGAAAGGAACTGGGATGTGTTAAGTCCAGGAGCCGACTCCACACAAGCTAAAATTTTTAAAAAATTGAAAATGGTTTAAAAGAAAGAATATTCCTAATTCAGTTGTTCACCTGATGCCTATAAGGCAGTGTGATAGGCCACGCCTGTAATTCCAAGGTTTGGGAGGCTGAGGCAGGAGGATCACTATGAGATTAAGGCCAGCCTGGGCTCCACAGTGAGTTCAAGGCCAGCCTAAACTACACAGTGAAAGTGTCTCAAAAAACCCAAAATCAATTATCCTACTTCTTCAGACATAGTGACCACCCAACAAAGGCCAGCTCTTTTAATGACAGGGATGAGGGTGGCCATCAGGAGGCCTAGGGAGGAAAGAAGTCTTCCAGGGGCTGTGTCTACCCTAAGGGGCACGGGGAGGATAGGGCAGAGGTCTCACGTACCAGTGAAAACACAGTCGGCCTCCCGTGGCTCCAGACCGAAACCGAAGCTATCCACAGCCATGCCCAGGGCACGGGCAAAGTGGGCATCAGCGAAGAAAGAGCCGTCGGAAGAGCTGACCAGGCTGGCTCTGGCACTAGGGCCGTTGTCCTCAGAGGCCGAGCCCCACCCATTGGCCAGGGAGCCCTCGCTGGGGGTGGGGGTGGGGCAGGGCCGAGGTGGGCACAGCAGGCCTCCCCTTTCAGATGCCACCCTGCCCCCAGCCCCGCCCACGTCTGCTAGCTCCGAGGCCGTCGGGATGCTGATGTACCCATAGGTTGTAGGGGGTGAGGGTGCCCTGGGCATGGGAGAGGTGCTGTTCCTGGGAGGAGGGAGATGGTGCATTGGTTAGAGCATGGCAGCAGGAACACGGAGGCCAGCAGAGGTGGGCGCGATGATCCCCACACTTGTCCTCCTGAAGCTCCTCACCTGCTCGCAGGCACTCACCTGGGGGTCTCCTCCCCCTCACTGAGCTCCAAGCACAGTGCCACCTCCTCAGGGGTCAGCACACTGTCCTGATCTTCCCCCAGGGATGACAGTGAGGAGCTGGACAGGCGACTGGAGGCTGGGCTGGGGCCAGAGAGGGAGGAGGGCTGGGGGCTGGGGGGCCTAGAGGGGCTCAGGACAGAGAGGGGGGCAGAAGCTTGGGGTTCCACTGTGTGCCTGGTTGGGGTGAAGGAGGGGCGGCAAATTGGTTAGTACTGTTCTTTAGGTCTCGTCCACCCCTTCATGGCCCCTGCCAAACCCAAGCACACCCTCCCGGCCCCATACCCCCTTACTGGGTCTGTGGATTCTGAGTGGGGGCTCCACCAGGAGAGAGAGGTGCTGGAGGGAGAGGGCGAGTCGCTAGCTCATTGGAGCTGCGGAGGAGCTGTGGTCCCAGGGCCCGCCAGGCCACCAGAGCCCCGGGCACAGCTGCTGGGAAGCAAGAGCCGGGCCTCAGCATGCAGAAGCTCTTTCAGTCACCTACCCCGCCCCTCAGCCACTGTCCGCCACCAGCTCATGCAGCCTCTGTAGAACCCAGGAGAAGCGGGGTGGAGGCTTGGGCTTCCCGTCCCTGAAACATGCCTCCCCACCCTCCCTTCCCCTTTGGGTCTCCTCTCACCTGGGCTCTGGGAAAGATTCTTGGAGCTTCTGTGTCCCAGCTCCCAGGCCCAGAGCTCCAAGGAGTGGCTGCCCCTGAGCAGGGGGGAGCTGTTGGCCTGGTGCAGTTCTGCAAAGCAAAGAGCTGGCGGTTGGAGGCAGCCAGAGCGAGCCTTTCAGACCCCGACTGCAGACTCCATCTTGGGGCTTGTTATTCATTTCACCCTGAAGAACCTTGAACCCAGAACAGAAGAAGAAGCACCTCCCCGGTGACCTCTCCACCTCCCCATCTTCATCGGAGCAGCTGTGACAAGATGGAAGGAGCACCAGGCTTGGAGTCAAAAGCTCGTCTGCTGTGTAACCTCAGAGAGATCCATTAACCTTGCCGAGCTTCAGGTTTGTTTGTAAACAACCACGTTAGTCAAACAATGGTTTTGAGGATTAGATAAAAACATCACCAAGTGCTTTGGGAATAGTAGTTATTTTAAAGTCCATTTGCTTTTTCTTCACTGTTCTGTGTTCCATCCCAGGCTTCCTGATCTCTGTTCCTTCACCGCGCTCCCTTCCTCTTGAATTTTGGCTGTCTGCAGGCACATACTCCTTTTCATGGGGAGAATCTGTCAGTAATTTCCACTTCTCGCATTGCAGAGGTCTGGATAGCCCTGCCCTGAAATGCCTGCATGTCTTTCACTTGGGGAAACAGGTTGGACTGTCAAGTTGGATGAATAAAGCAAAAGTACGAAGGCTCAGACCATGCAAGTTGAAAGCAGAGGGAGTCGCTGACAGGATGAGGAACTTCAGAAAAGGAAAATGTATTGACCTCACGGAGGGAGCTGTGTAGTCATTCAGGAATGTTTGTTGAATAAATGAGTGAACGCGTGGGTTCAGCCAGGGAGTCCGTGTACCAGAAGCCTGAACCTCTGATCCCCTTAATGAAACCCACAGAAAGGCTGGGCTTCATCCATTAAAGTTTCCTGTTCTTCTTAGGCTGTTTTTGTTTGTATTCTTTAGTTCTCATATGACTTTAGGGAGTCCTGGAGACCAGCTTCAAGGCTGGTGACCTAACACTGCTATCTTCAGGTTAGCAGTGTCCAGTGCTCCCCTGTGGGCACATGTTGACTGGTTGACTTGAGTGGAAAAGAAAGGGGAAAATCCAGGCCTGGGAAGGACTCCTCATCCCAGCCCATGTCATTTCCTGCAAGGGACCGGGCAGCAAAAGGCCTCCCACCTTGCCTGGAGATGCTTGCATTTTAACTCCAATGCTGCTTGAAGGAACTAGACCATAAAAACATTATCCCGGTCAAAAGCTGAATCTCATTGGACATAGCGGGGCTGCTCTAAATATATTTGGAATGAAATAATGCGTGAATGAGACTATTGAGTGCACACATCTGGCAAAAAGAGCCTGACCAAGAACCTGCTATAATGGACAAGACATGGAAGACAGCAGTTTTAAGAATATCAATAGTGAAGGAAAGACTCCCAATTAAGGTCCAGTAATAATTTTTTAAAAAGCACATCAAAGGGAGCAGAGGAGTTAAGAAAAAATACCAGTCTTAGAAGTGGAAAGAAACGCCACATTTTGGATGAGGTGACAGCAGTGAAGTCAGCCCCAGAACTCTGGACAAGGTCACAGTATGCTTTTGCTGTGCTGCTGAGGTTCCAGAGCCAGGGGTGAAAGATAAGTGTTCCCCAGTCAAGAGCAGGCACAGCGGTTGATCCACCCTGGAGCAGTGGGGGTGTGGATTCATGGGAGATTGATTCCAGGTCCCCCGTAGACAGGAAGACCCAAGAAAGTTTAACTTTCTTTCTTTTCTTTTCTTTTTTTTTTTTTTTTTGTCTTTTTCCTTTTTATGGGTACCGGGGATCAAACCCACGACTGCCTGCTTGCAAGGCAGGCACTTATGCCGCTGAGCTAAATCCCCAGCCCCCATGAAGTTCAACTTTCTTGCATAAAGTGGCGTCATGTTTGCACAATAACTTTTGCACATCCTTCTGTATACTTTAAATACTTGAAGCAACGTAAATAGTTAGGATTCTGTATTGTTTAGACAATGATCACTGCAAACAAAAAGTCTGTACATGTTTGGTACAGATGCAATTTTTCTAAATATTTTCAATTCACAGATGATTGAGCATGCGTGGACATGGAAGGCAGACTGAGTCCATTGCTCTCTGAAGAGGAAGCCAGGTGTGGGTGCCCAGTGGGCATGCAGAGATGAGAACGCCAGCCTTCCCAGCAGCCCTGACCATGCCGTGCCAGGCTTTAACATTACTTGGTGCTGGGCAATGCTTTCAGCAGTCAAGGAGCCCGCAGGGGGCAAAGGCTGTGCTTGAGTGTCTCCTACACCCCCATGCCTGCTGTGAAGGGGTGTTTATTCAGTGTTTGAGGAGCTGAACTGGCTACAAAAGCAGGGCTGGCTGGAGTGGTGGTGCCTGCCTGTAAGCCCAGCACTTGGGGAGGCTGAGGCAAAAGGATCACTTCAGAGTTTGAGGCCAGCTTGGGGTACAAAGTGAGTCTGAGGCCAGCCTGAACTGTCTTGAAAAGACAAAAAGAAAAAAGAAAAAAGGACTGAAACAGAGCCTATTGCTGTAAAGACAAGCCGAGGTGGGCTCCCTTCTGCCGAGTACTCCAGGCTGGGAAACAAGGCCCTGTGCCTTCTGAGAGGCGAGAAGGGGTGCTGTGAGCACCATGGGGCACAGCCTTGGTCCCTCCCACCAGCAGCCCCGCCTTACCTTGCTTCTTCTTGGTCTTCCAGGCCTCTGCAGGAGCCAGAGACAAGGAGCATGGCGAATCGGGGCCCCTGTGGTTGCAGAGGCTGTCTGAGCTGGGCCAGGGGCTGGAGGTCCGGATCAGCTGAGGAGGGCGGCGCCTGGCAGCTGGGGTCTGGGGACTCAGCCGGGATGGGGGGCTGGAGGGCAGCTCAGCGATGAGGGAGCCATAAAAGGTGCTAGTGTCTGGAAGCAGGGGCACGCCGGGACTTCGGGGATCCCAGGAGATCACTGCCACAAAACAAAACAAACAAACAAACAAACAAACAAACAAAACAAAACAAGAAGAGTTATGAGGAGCAAGTCGCACCTCCCAGCTCTCCAGCCCTGGGCTCCTGGCCCCACAAGGCGTGCTCACAGGAGCGCCGGCAGTCTAGTGGGTCCCGGGGATCCACCCCCAGCCGGCTGTTAAGGCTGCTGCTACTGCTCAAGTCCCGAGAGCCAGAGGTGGATCGCCAGGTGTCTGCCAGCCAGGGTGAGTCGCTGTGGTCCATCCTGAGGCAGGGGGCGGGCGCAGGGGTGGGGGAGAAGAACAGCCTGAGCTGGCAGCCTAACTGGGGGAGACCTCCGCCCAGAAGGAGGCAGAGGAGTTGGACAGCAGAATTAGCTTGGTCCTCACTACTGCTTTTTAGTCCTTCACAGACTCTGGGAGGTCTCCCACCTGGTGCCCCAAACTCAGCAGCCCTTTCTATGTCGGGATCAGGGAAAGTCCAAGTTGCCCAGAACTAGGATACAGTAAAGAGAAATAACTGCAGGCAGACCTGGTTTGAAAATCTGTGTCTGCCTTGGCTGGCACTGAACGACCCCAAGTGTGTAAATCCATTTGCCTTTCTCAGCCCCTGTTCCTTCATCTATAAAATGGCAACCACAAGACCTTCCAGGTACAGCTGATGCTGTGGATTTAAAAAAAAGGAAGTAGGTGGTCCCTTGGCTGGTGGAGTAGGTGCTTGCTGTGTGGCTGCTGGCTTCCAGCTGCCTGAGGGATCCTTCCAGAACAGAGAGCTGCCAGATGTGCTTCTCTGCCTTGAACCTTCAGTAACTGCCTATTTATTGATGCAGAGCTCAGATGCCAGCATGGCTGACGGCCTTCTATAATCTATCTTCTAGTGCCCCCTTTGCTATGACCCACCTCATTCATACCTCATGCTCAAGTCAGACCCAATGGCACGTTGCTGAGAGGTGGGTGACAAGAACACCGGACCAGAGGGGTTGGGGAGATCAGGTACTAGCTGTGAAGCCTTTGTCAAAGTCATTTAAGTTTTGTGACTCTCAGTTTGCTCAAGCCATATAGCAGAACAATAGTGAAAGAGAAATTAACAGTAACTTGGTAGGACAGACCAGCACTTCATTAAATTTCTGGTGCCACCGCACTGCCTCTTGAACCCCACCTCACAGAGCCCGCCCCTTTCACCTCTCACCTGTGTTTTAGGATGGCATCCTCACTGGTATACCTGTACAGACCTGGGAAGAGGTGGAGAGAAGGCTCAGTCCAGAGGCACCACCGCCTGAACAGGGATCTAACCCACTGCAGCACGCTAGCAGGCCCCAGAGGAAACCTGAACACTGGGGACCCCCCTCTCACCTGGACCCATGTGCACCCTGGCTTGGTGCCTGCGGTAGATGCACACAGCGATGCCCAGCAGCAGCAGCCAGAGCAGGACACCTCCACTGGCGATGACCTCTGGCCTCCTCACTGTGGCCCTCAGCCACTCTAGGGCCCACGGACCTTGCTCGCTGGGTTCTTGGGCTGATTGTTCCATGGGCTTTTCTGTATAGAAGGTGGGGTTTAGGGGAAAGGCAGGTAAGCCAAAGGGTCTGGCAGAAAAGGCGGGAGACTAAAGTGTGAGGCCTTCGTGCTGAAGGGCTAAGCCTATGGGCACTGCTCTCACCTAAAAGGAGGCACACAGGGCTACTGGGTGCCCCAGCCCCAGCCCCAGTGAAGGCAGCCACTTGCACACAGTAGGAGCCTGACATTTGCGCATCCATCTCCAGCTGGGTCTGCGCACCCACGACGGTGCAGTTGATGGGAGGCAGTGAGGTATTGCCCAGGCTCCAGACCTGGGACACAAACAAAGGGGAGCAGTGGAGCCCTGTGTCTGTACATCAGGTTTTGGTACCTGGTCCTGTGCCCTGCCATTCAGGGGACCCTCCCCCCAGTGCTCCTCAGTTCCTATTCCCTGCTTTGTATCAAGTAAGAGGGGCCTCTTCCCAGAAAAGGGTGAAAGCAATCTGTTAAAATACACCCCAGACCGGTGATTCTCAATCTCCACATGTTGAGAGTCACCTGGAGCCTTTCTAAACCACAAGTGGCCAAGCTCATCCACAAGTTTCTGATACGGGGCTTGGGCAAGGCGAGAACCTGCACTCCTAATAGGATCCTGGATGCTGCAGATGTTGGCCATGCAGGAGCCCTGCTTTAAGCATCATCACCTTAAAGGCTTAGCAGCTGACCCTGCCTGGCTGATTGCTGCTCTGTTTCTTGAACCAGTGACACAGTGACCCAAACGGAGGTACAGAGAACTACAGGGGCTGCAGTGTGTGCTGGTGGCACCAGGAAAGGCTGTGTCCACTTGTGGGAATACCTGGTAGCCACGGATGACGCCATTGTGGTTTTCAGCAGGTGGTGGGACCCAGCTCACAAGGATGCTGCTGTTGTTGTGTTTTAGGGTCACTTCCTGGGGTGGGGCACTGGGAACTGGGGGGAAGGAAGAGTGACAATAAGGGGTGCTGATCTCTCAGGACTCTTTTAGGGAAAAGAGCTGGAAGGGGACACAGAGTCAGAGCCCCACTTAGAAGCATAGCACCTTCTTCAGCTCTGCGTGCTTATCCAAGGTAGAAGGAAGCCCTGTCATCCCCCCAGACTAGTGAGGCAGGCCAGGGCTCCCCAGTCCAGAAGGGCCTCCAAGGCCGGGGATATAGCTCAATGGTGCAAGTGTCTGCAAGTGCAAGGTCCTGAGTTCAGTTTCCCACACAAGCACAAAAAATAAGTGTCCCCAGGCAGGTGGAGTACTGTTGGACCCTGGGCAAATCCTTTCCTGACCTTGTTCCGGCAGACTCAGGAGCAGCACATTGCTGTCAGGGCCTCGAGCCCGGCCAGAGGACGGTCTCACTTTGAACTCGTAGGCTTGGCCCCAGCGGAGTCCCCCGAGTTCTGCGCTCTGCCAGCCGTCCAGCAGCGCCTCTGCCCACGGAGCTCTCTGGCCTCCCTGGGCTGTCCGAGCCCTGAACAAGGCTGTGTAGGACTGAGCAGGTGCAGCAGGGCCACTCACCTGGAAAGGAACCAGAGGGAGAGTGAGGGTCAGAGGCCCATGACAGCCCTCTCTCAAGCTCTGGACTGGCTGTCACCCCGAGGCCTTACCTTCCAGCTGAGCCACACAGCTGGCCCAGGCTTGGAGCCCTTCTTGGGGTCTGGGTTCAACAAGGTCACATTTTCTAGCTGAATACGGACAGCCAGCAGTTCCACAGGCTCGCTGTGATCTTGTGACTCTGGGGAGCACAGGAATGGGCTGGGGCCAGAGGTGGCGGCCAGGGGTGGAGGGGCCCACATCCCCTAGCCATATTGACCCTAACCTCCCAGAGTTCCCAGGCCGAGAGCACTGCTAGGACATAGGTGGGGTCCCCATCACTCTGACCCTGATCCCAGACTGAGGCCCACACACCCTAATGCCAGCCCAAACCCGATTATGCTATCCTTCTCGAAGCCTCCCGCCTTGCCCTGGACTCTAGCTGGCCGCCTGCTCTTACCCTGGATAGACACCCTGGCTGCTCGGCTCTCCCGTTGGCCTGCATTGTTGGTGGCCGCACACATATAGATCCCAGTGTCACTCTTCTCTGCTCTTGACACCAGCAGGGAACCCCTGGATACCTGAGAGGGCCGGATACATTGTGATGTCTTCACAGGAGCAGAGGCTCTGGCGTTGGAGGACAGCCAAAGGCCTCCACGCCTTCCCTGCCTCAAAGCCCACCAGGGAACACTGGGCTGGCAAGCGGGCTTCTCCTCCATGCTGTGCTGACTTGTGCTCAGAGCAGGATGGAGTGTGGGAAGGGGCGCCACTCACCGTGTGCCGCCCTGGCTGGAGGGCCAGGGGTTTCCCGTCTTTCCACCATGAGACTGTGGGTTCTGGGTAGCCCCAAGGAGGTCCACACTCCAGAACCAACTGCTCACCCACCATGGCCACTGTGTCTTGGGGCTGGATCTGGAAATCCTCCCGGAGGACTGTGGGACAGATGGTGGGTCAGCAGGCAGCAGGGCCCTGGCTTCCTCCCCCAGAGATGTGCCTTGCCCCTGCCCGCCACTCTCACTGCCTTCTGTGTGCCTCCTCCAGGCCTCCCCCGAGGGTAGGCCCAAGCCAGGTCTCCCCGCAAGTCCTCAGCCCATGTGTCCCCATAGACTCCCCCGCCATATCCCTCAGCCCAAGCTCGCCCCGCCTGCATCGCCTGCATCTCCCCTCCCCGGCCTTACCAGCCACAGACAGCCGAGCGCCTCTGCTGACTGCCGTGCCCAGCTGATTGCTGGCCTCACATGTGTAGATGCCCAGGATCATGGCCAGGGCCTGGTCATCGTGGGCTCGTCCCTGCGCGGGGGGCCGCAGCAGGAGGAGGGTGCCGTCCGAGAAGAGGTGGTACAGGTCCACATCGATGTTCAGGGGCTGCCCATTGAGCAGCCAGCGGATGGTGGGGGGCGGCTGGCCTGATGCTCTGCAGCTCATCTTGGCAGAGCCTGAGTCCTGGAGCAGCTGGTCCTGGGGGTGAACTAAGATCTGGGGTGGGGACTCCTGAGTCTTGCCTCCTGGGAGGGAGAAGAGAACAGAGCTGGGACTGACTACCCTCAGGGGCCCTGCCTCCCACAATGCCCCGTGCCACTGAAAGTGGATTCCCAAATAACCAGGCCTGGAACAAGGCCTGTCCCTGGAAAGGACAGGACCGGCATATACCGTGTGTCCAGGCCAGAACTTGCATAGTTCTCTCTCTCTTTCTCTCTCTCTCCTCCTTCTCTTTCTCTGGGTCTTACACACACATGCACGCGCGTACACACACACACACACACACACACACACACACACACACACACGAGCACACGTGTACTACCACCATCATCATCATCTCTGATCTCTGGCACTCCTACAACAAAAGAGAATCAAAGAGCCAGGGAGTCTTTTCCGCCCTGGTCAGGGATTGTGGACCAGGAAAGGGACAGCCACGCTTACCCCCGGCACACAGAAGCAGGAGAAGCAGGGGCCCCCTGCCCCCAAGGAGGCCCACTCCTCCAGAGCCCATGGCCGCTTCAGTCCTGGCTCCTTATCCCAGCCACTTTGTCCTGTGGCTCTGACTTCACAGCGGTGAGCGAAGAGGGGCGGGACAGGGTGTTGGTAGTTGTTTGTGACTCTGTCCCAGTAGGGAAGCAGCTTTGAGGAAACTGATGCTTCCTGCCTGGCCCTCAGTGCCTTGGAGAACTGGGAGGAGACCAGAGGCGAGAAACTTTCTGACCTCTACCCTTTAGCCAGAACCCCTGACCCAACTTCAGTCCTGAAGTTTACCTCCTGTTTAGTTTGGGGTTTTTGAAAAGGAAATCACTTACTGTAGGTTCATCCACACCCTTAACCCTTCAACCCCCAGGCTGTATTTAAGCCTTATCCCCAATCTCAGTGCTTATGTCTTTGTGTCCCAGTGGCCACCTGTTAGAGTGGGCTGGAGACCCACAGGGGGTCCTCGGAGGGTGCAGTGAGCAGAGGACACATGGCAGTGGTGGGACTGCAGGTCAAGGAGGCTAAGTGGAGGGAGCTGGGATGAATGGTCATGCTCCATTTCCCCAGGGACAGAGGGGGCTGGTGGGAGGAAGTGGGGAGAAAGGATGGAGAACCTCTGGGACAAGCTGGGAGCTTCTGACAGAATCTAAGGTCTGTCAGAATCTGACAGATTCTCTTACCTTCAGCTCAGAGGTAACGAACCAGGCTTCTGTGAGACCTTGAATTGACCAGATACTTTAACCGTGCAAGTCACTTTTTTAGTGTCTTGACCTAGAAATAGGAATACCAGCAGGGGATGTAGCTCAGCAGCATACGTGCCTGCCTGGGAAATGCAAGATCCTAAGTTCAATTCCCAGTACAAAAACAAAACAAAACAAAAATATAGTAGTAGACCCTGCAGGGCCGACACATTGTAAGTGAAGGATTAGGCCACCCTAATGGTTCATGCATCCCATCACCATTTCAGCACCCTCTCTTGGGCCCTTTTTTAGGGCCTGGAGAGGAGGATGGAGTAGAAGATCTTTCTAGTGTCTGCAGCAGACAGGCTCTGCCCCGACAGCCCGGCCCCGCCCACAGGCTGGAGAGGCTTCACTCCCTCTCAGAGCCCAGCTCCTGTTTACAGGTCTCTTCCTTCCAGATCTGGAATCTCAGCCATTTCCTGGAGTTGTTCCCGGAAGGCCAAGGCCAGGCTATGGAGCTCAGGGGAAGAGTGTCCAGCCTTTGTTCTCAATTGTTGTGGTCAGCTACTCAGCAGGGCCCCTAACCCAGCTTACTCCTCCACCTTCCTCCACCTCCAGTCAGGTCACAGGGCCAGCCCAGCCCAAGCAGCCTACCAAGGGAAGGCTCCCTCTCCTCCTCCTCTTGGCCTCCCAAACTGAGATAGGATCTAAGGTTAAGAAACAGTTGAGACAAGAGAACCCGATGGTCTCTACCATCTAAGGGCTTCCCTGAGGCAAAGAATAGCCTGAGTAAATGTGATGGGGTGACAGAGTCGGAGGGATAGTAGTTGGGCTCACAGAATAGACCATGAATTGTCAGAGGTAGAAGCTCTAAGGATAGTGACCAAGTCAATGGTACAAGCCAGGGCTCATGGGGCCAAGGATCTGTGGGTCCAGACAGGTAAGTGGCTGTTAGCCAAGGAAGAGACAGGAAAGGAGGTGATGGGGAAACTGGATTTACTTGTACTCATGGCTAATTTGAGATTTCCCAGTTACACAACCCCCAACAGTGGCTGAGGTAACCTCTGACCCCCAAGAATGTTGCTACGAACAGTCCTCCTTCTTGATCCTGCATTGCATTTAGGGAGACTAAATTCTCTCTTAGTGTTTTAATGCCAATTTGATTTTATTGAAATATCTACAATCCAGAAGGATGGTGTAGTTTCTCTGGGCGTGGGGTATGGGGAGAAAGCCAGTCTCAAAAGAATTCGGATCCATCAGTAGCACTGTCCTGAGCCTGAAGAGAGGTGTCAGTGCCACACCATAGGGATGGAGCCCCAGGGGCTGTGACAGCCAAGTGCCCCACGCCTGAGGATCACAGCATCTCCCAACTCTCAGACTCTGAAGAGCCATTAGCAAAGCCCTGAAGGGAACTGGAGGGGCGAGTCCCTCTGAGCAGTTCCAAGAGGGCATTTGCCACTTTCCCCTCACTCAGTCCAAGCACCCAGGGGACTTGGAGGTACATGGACTGGTGGCCAATGGGACTTCCCAAAGGGAGGTGTGTCTGGATGGCTCCCAGGGGTCACGTGTCATTTCCAGCAAGCAGGTCCACCAGCAGTCCGATTGTCTCATTTCCACAAACTGAGGAAGAGCCGGCAGCCTGAGTCACCAGGATGATGTGGAAGGTCGGGAGCCACCTCCTGTTATTTTAGGGAGACTGGTCTGGGGCCCTGGTGACACACAGACCCAGTCACCAAACCACATGGTACCTTTCTTTGGACCCCAGTTCTAGTGCTTTGCATTTGTTGCAAGCATCTCTGTCTCAGTTGTTTGCAGAAGAAGAAAAGGACCAGGAACTCTTCCAAATGACCCCCGTGAAGGAAATTTCTCTTCACCATAATCCTGGCTTCTCAGGCTGCCTGTGGTGTTTTCTGAAGATGCAGCTGGATCTCCTGCTGCTAAACTGGCAGAGTAAAAATGGGACGAACTCTGGTGGGATTAGAAGCCAGTTACACTTCCACTGAGACCTGGCTCCACCAATCTCTCCCTGACCAGCACGACCACACCTAGACACTCCCTGGAGCCCTGACACCTCATTCAGTCACATCTGCATGTTTCTTTTCTTTCTTCTTTGTTTGAGTCAAGTTGGTCCCAGTCTCTACAAAGTCTCTTCTTTGTTCCAAGAGGCCAATAGCTGATAGGAAACTGAGTCAAGTGAGGACAGAATAATGATCTATATTTGCTGGCTGGAGACACTGCTCCTGTTACTGGTTGTTGGATCTCAGGGAAATTCTTTCTGGGTTCCTGGTGCCCTGAACAAAGACTTGAACAAGACACGCAGAAAAGGTAGTGCGATATGTCCAGATTTATCAAGGGAGCATGAGAGCGGGCTGAACATACTGGTGACATGAGGCCAAGAAAAGTGTCTTTCATATCTGCAATTCCTAGATTGACTTCTCAGGCAAATAAGGCATTCAGATGGTTGATCCATCAAAAACCTCACAGGACTTTGGAGCCAGATTGAAACTGTCCTATCAAAGACTTGCTTGGTTTCATGCCAGATGTAAATGAATTGAAAATAGCCCTTTTCTGATTGGCCCAGCATACACTGCTCAGGAACGGAAGTCATCCTGGGTTCTGTGTTCTATGCATGTGCCTTGGGTCTCCAGGATTTGGACAGATTACACTCAGTTCTTTTTGTTTGTTTGTTTGTTTGTTTGTTTGGTACCAGGAGTCAAACTCAAGACCTTGCACTTGCCAGGCAGGCACTTTGCCGCTGAGCCCTGCCCCACACCGGTACTTTGACCAATCTTGCCAGTCTTAATTTCCTACCCCATCTCTCCCTGAGAGACATAATTTGCATACTCTTTTATGGGATGCCAAGGGGGTAGAGGTCTCTTTTTCCATGCAGCTGCCTTCTGTTAAAAGAGGCCCTAGGCCCTGCCTACAGGGCGTTATGTGCTCTTGGATTATTTTGGAAGCTGGAGCTCACCATCTGGGCTGCACAGAACCTATCAGAAGACCATGAGGAAAGAGTACCTATGTGTCAGGAACTGCCAGGCTGCCTGTTGAACAGAGAAATCTCAGTGCATTTGTCAGGAGGATCGTGGGCTGTAGCCCGGATGGTCCTCTGACGGTGGATCTTTCGAAGCCTTGAATGGACAAATTTTACTATTAGATTGAGGAGGCAGAGGCCAAATAGGAAAAGTAGCAGATCAAAATATTTCCTGGTCTGTCTTAAAGGGTGGACTGAAGGAGACAGCCTGCAATTTGCTGTTATTCAGGAGACATTTACTAAGGAGTTTTATTTTCATGCTTCATGTGGAGAGGGAAGCATAGTGAACAGGGTTATTAGATAAACTAGTAGGAGTCTGAGAGTCATGGCCCCAGTGAGATAACCCACATTCTGAGTCTAATTAAAAGCAAGGGTCCTGCTACAGGTGCCCACGTAAGGTGTGGTGGATTGGAGGTCATTAGTGACAATTTATCTGCCCTCAGAGCGATATTGAAGTCTTGTTTTTTGAAGAGTCTTGGCTCTCTCAAAGGTTCATAGGAATATCTTTCTTCTTTTGGTTGGTTCTTTCCCTCAAGTAGTTCAGGTGGAGCTGTTTATCCAAGAAAAGTGAAACCAGCTATCCATCTCTGTCACCTTTACAGCAGTGGGTGACAGAGATCACTGAAGGAGGGTCCCTCCATTTTGGTTTTCATTGGTCCATAGGGAGGCTCTGCTTCCCAAGTTTTAATGAGTACTTGGTCTCCAGGGTGGAGACCTATACGGTCAGGAGCCAGCAGGACCTCCTGTCCATACAGTTAGATAGCTTGTACTTGGCCCAGGTTAATAAGATACATAACAGTCTTGTGGGATCTGGGCCCATCACCCTATTAAAAGGTAGAAAAATCTCTAAAATAGCATCTCAAATAGGCTCATGTTTCTCCTAGTGTTAGGGTTAGTTTGAATGTTTAAGAAGGCTATTGGCAATCATCAGAGCCAAGACTCAGAAGTCTGTTGGCAAAGCTTTGCCAGCACTTTCTTTGTGGTCTGGTTGACTCTTTCAGCCTCTCCACATGACTAAGATCTCTATGCAAAATGGAAAACGTTCTTTATTCCTAAAGTCTTTGCCATCTCTTGAGTTACCTGAGAAGTAAAAAAAAAAAAAAAAAAAAAAAAGGTCTCTTGTTACTCTGAAGGGACCAGGGTAGCCCACACCAGGGAATGATTTTTTTGAGAAGCACCTTGACTACTTTCATGGTCTTTTCTGGATGGATAGAAAGGACCTCGATCCAACCTACAAAGGTGTCAATTTGGACCAATATTTGTTTAAAGTCCCCAAACAGTGGCAGATAAGCAAGGTCTAATTGCTAGCCCTCTCCAGGATTATATCCTTCTCCATGGTACATGCTCCTACAAAAGAAATGATCTGAGTTTTCCAGAATTGTTATAAGAACAGAGTGGGTAAGCTTTGTGGACGTGTTGAGTTGCTACTTCTAGTCCTGTGAAAATTCAAGTGACCATTCCCTCTATCTATTTGGTTTTTTTGAGACAGGGTCTTGTTGTTTAGTCCAGGACACTCCTGAACTCACTATGTAGCCTAAGCTGGCCTCAAACTTGTGGCAATCCTCCTGCCTCAGCCTCCTGAGTGCTGGGATTACAAGGATGTGCCATCATGCTCAGTACCTTTCCCACCCCTTTCTATATGGAAAGAATAATGAAGGGTTTTTGTACCTTCCCATTGTGTCTCTTGAAGAAGGACACTCCTCCTTCCAACATCACCAAAACCCCTTGTTAAGTCCTCCTTGTCCTAAGGTCCATTTATCTTCCTGGTGGGTAAAGACTAGTTTTAAGGGGCTTTTTCTTTCTTTCTTTCTTTCTTTCTTTTTTTTTTTTTTTTTTTTTGTACCAGGAATCACACTCAGGGCCTTGCACTTGCCAGGCAGGCGCTGTGCTGCTGAACTACATCCCTGATCCTAGACCAGTTTTAACATCTCCTGTGGAACTGGTAATAAGGCCAGAGTCTCAAAGGGATATAAGGTTCCCCTTTCTGCCTCTCTCTAAGCCTTTCAGTTTTCCCAGGAGACTTCAAACATGTCCCTTTGCATGAATGACAGTGTGATGAATGCCAGTAACCTGTCTAGGAAGGTCTGCTTCCAGGAGTTACAGACTTTCTAGCTTGTACTTCATAGATGGTTTATTAGTTAACAAGCCTCTTTTTTTTTCAGATTGCTTCATGGCCCCATAGCACCAGAAAAGCATACAGTGGTG